TGAAAGAGAACGGTTAAGGTGATTACAGCACCCCCTCATAATTTTCGAACAAGCATATCTTAATGATCGTTTATTAATAAATAACTATTATTTTCTCTTTTTCGCCTTTTGTGAGCAGGTATATTACAGAAGATATTTAATTTCTCGCCCGGCGGGCGGTAAATTAGTTCGCGGGCGGTAAAGTAGTCCGCGGGCGATAAAGGGACACTTTACGCTCGCTAAACGTATTTATAATCTGGATTTTATCGCTCGGTCGTGCATGAAATTATTTACTGAAAATACTAATTTTCGCAATGCTATTTTTTAATTAGTTTCTTTGTTCTCAGGTAATTACGCCATGTAATACACCGGCAACACCTCCAAACTTCCCCGACACCCTATTGGCTTTTTCCAAGCTTTCAGCAGGCAATGGCAACAGCCCGTCCACAAATCAAGTAGGCGGAAATCCACTACCACCTCAATCACGTCGATCTCCTCAACCCATGGTACATCAACAACGATAAGAGTATCCAAATAGTGGTGCTGAATAGCCATAAATCAGTTACGCTCAGTGTAAAAACTTTCTATGTAAATTGGAGACTAAGATAATGCTAGTGAAATTTGTTGAGATATATATTTTTAGTTATTTTGTTGAAGTGAACACTGTATTGGTTTTTTTTTGGTAATCAGATATCGTTGAAAACGATATGTTGACGAGTTGTTTGAAGATGTTTTACAATGACTGGTGTTTTAGATTTGACACGAAATACACACAAGATACACTCCCTTTGTAATTAATGAAAGAACTACAGCAACATTCTGCGATTTATCAAAAATTACATTCAGTCTTTAAGGTGATGTTTGTACTGTTTACTACAAAAGTATTGCCATTTGCGTTAATGTAAGAGATATGGCACACTATTAAAACAAAATATTGTAAAAGGTCATTTGCCTAAATCAAAATTGTTAAGATTGGCATTAATGTATAAAAAAATTTCTTGCATTTTCAACTGTATTGCTGTAATTTTGATCCAGTAGATGTATTCATGTGAAATATTATTTATTGCACTCATAAGGGAGATCAATTCGAGCTTGAAATTCTGATTGTATTTTTGTGCGATCCTTATCATTGATATGGTGATGTCCTATAACGTGTACTTTAAAAATACAAAACGCACATCCATATTGATTGTTTTTTTTTGATGAAGTAAAAATTTCTGAAATAATTAAAAAAACTGTATATAAGTCAAAAATTGCTTTACTATCAAAAACTTCAAGTGGTTTTGTTGAATGTTCCTATAAATTATTTAGAATTATGTGCAACAATAATTTGTGTTTCATATAGATTAAAAAGTATGATTTTTCAAATTTTTTTATTAATAGAGTAGTTATTTTATTTAAACTTTTCAATATCACAGTTATGTTGATTAAAGAGTTTTTAACAACAAAAATCAATTTAATTTACAATATTTTTCAATCCTGTTTTGACATGAAGAGATAAATACCAAACCCTTCTTCAATCTTTTTGTATGGGTTAAGATTTTTCTGTCTGCCCAATTTTACGTTTTGTATGGTGAGAACAGCATGCCTAGAAAGTCACATTATTAGGACCCTGTTAACAACACCATTTCCACTTAATTCATATTAACTTTAAAGTAATAAATCACTTAAATGGGTTTAGCTTACACTGTATGCCCAATGTTACGTATTTTTTCTTGATGGGAAATGCACACTCTAATTTATTTTTAATAAAATATGTATTTGAAACTTCGGTACCTCTTAAACTTGATATTCTGAGACCACCTTTTCGATGTTGACACGTCGGTTTTGGAATCGGAAGTCCATACCAAACCCATTGCAAATTGTTTGATTATATTATCAGCCCTTCTTCTTTTCCTTAATGAACAATTCTCAATGCGTAAGTCAAAATTAGTTCAAATGAATCTTATTATTAATGCAATGATATCGAGCATTTTTAAGAACTTGCCAAAAATATCACGTGGGGTTTTAAGATTTTTGATGAAATTTAATTATTGAAAAAAGAGGAACTTGTTATAAAAGTTTGGAAAAGAATTCAGTCAAATTGTGTCAAATTTTGACGTACCGATTCCGATATTTTCCAGCAAAATTTTATGACGCAACAATGAAAAAATTGCAGAAAGGTAAAAAAATCGGGTTTTGTGCTTATAACGCTGAAACTATCAATTTTTCGTAAACAACCTCTATATTCAATGTAAATTTCCAGCTATTTATCAATAAGCCAAACTTATAATGACAATTTTTTATTAAAATTACATTTTAGGCTTCTAATATTTCTTAATGATTAATAGTGCAAATGGCACATAGTAAATAATTTGGGAATACGTTCGTTAAATAAATAAAGTATACATTTTTTGTGCACACATCAAAATAAAATAAAATGATAATACTTGTTTTTGTATAATAAATTCAGACCAACTTTATCTCTTCACGTCCAGTCTAGGATAAATTTTGGAGTTAAGTAATTTGATTTATGTTCTCTCATCTTGTTAAATATAAAAATAACGTTAAAATGTAAAATATTAGAGGTGGCCCATTAGTACGTGGAAGTCATCAATATCTCTCCTATCATAAGAACCATGAGAAAATATTGTAATTAAAAGTTATAGAGTAGAGAAGCGTCCAAATACAGGATCTACAACAAAAACTTTTGGATTCCAATGAAGAAAACCGGCTAAAAATTCGTTAGATTAGATTTTGATGAAGAGAAAACCAGTAAAAGATCATCCGATGGAGGTTGCACCTGCAAAGCCAAATTCCCAAGACCGCGTTGTGCCTGTAGAAAAATGGGCAGAAAGTGTTCAGCAACTACATGCAAATGTAAAGAGGGTGTCTGCGAAAACTATGAAGAGGTTCCAAATGAAGAAGCTTTCTTGCATATTTCTAAAATCTTATGAAATGTACAGGGTATTTTGTTACATCTGTGTTTTTAAATGATTGTCCCTGTATTTGTTTCACCATTGATTTCAGCGTGAATTATTACGTTCTAATACCAAGATTTTTTTAAATTCAATTTATCGCAAAAAGTGTGAAAAAATACTGAAAAATTGTTCACAAATATTATAAAAAAAAATTGTTATTGGCTACAGAAATAAGGGTTAGCAAAAACGTCTGAGAGGGCCAAAAATTTATTTTTATTTACAGGCGATTTTATACGGGAGCATAAACTTGCTAATCTTTAAACATTTAACACGTCACTTTTTCAAAATGAACAACCAAGTATATTATTTCACTATTTGTTATTATAATATAGACCTTGAAAGTGATAGTGTTTGACAATTTTTATTTTAATTGATAACTTCAAAATAATAGGGATTAAAGGAACATCAGACTTCCACTCACTAATTGGCCACCCTGTTTAAAAAAACGTTTCCAGTGTTTTAGTTGTAGGTTGAACAACTTATCAAATATTCGTTGAAAAACTATTTTCAGAAAATCTAATTATTTGATATTGAAAAAATATATAATTATTATTAATTAAAAATTATTATTATTATTATTATTAAATATTATTAAAATATTAGAAATTAAATAAAAACTAAAAACTACGTGTACTTACAAATTAAAATATCACATTTGTGAACATCAATATACTTTGCTCTAATCTTGACAAAAAAATACAAAAATTAAAACGCAAAATTCAATTAGCAAGCAATGATCCCCTTTTGCTTTACTAATTAAAACTATGGACATTTAGATGTAATGGCAGATAATAGAGCCATTAACGGGTATAATAATTATTAAAAGTAGCTGAAGGCAAAAATGAAAAGGGTGATCTAAATACTAAAAATTGTTACCTAACAACATTTTTATCTTCAACACATTATTTAAAAACAAATTAAAAAAGATACACATTTACGTTGCGATACTTTTTTCACACCCAGTATTAAATTCTGATATTTTCACTACTTTTCAACCGACTTCAAAAAAGGAGGAGGTTATCAATTCGTCGCGATATTTTTTTTTTGGTTTTTTTTTTTATGTATGTTCAGCGATAATTCTTCAACACGATGTCCGATTTCAATGATTCTTTTTTTGTTAGAAAGGGGGTACTTCAGGGGTGGTCCCATATATATTTGGTCAAAATCTAATAATTGGGTCCATGAGAAAATCTTCAAACTCTTAATTTTTTATGTATGATTAGCGATAATGCTTTACCACCTTGTCCGATTTATATGATTCTTTTTTGTTAGTAAGGGGGTACCTCAGGGGTGGTCCCATATAAATTTGGTTAAGATGTGGTGATGGCATCTGCATGTTTTTGAAGTCGGTTTTTTTAATTTTTAATTTCTAATACTTGTGTCAAAAATAGAGCAGTATTTTACCAATATAGAGAGTTATGGCCAAAGTCTTGATCAAATAACCTTATTTTGACAGCTAAGCATGCCCATGATAATTTAGTAAGAACTTGTACAGAACAAGAATTTCCTTATTTTTTGAAAATACGAAAACCTTATACATGTAATTGGAATTGCGTAACTTACTTGTATATGAACGGGCTATTTGGACTAATCCGCAAATATCATTCAGATCATCAAATATAATTATTTTGAAATGTTTTTGATTTTCAAGAGGGTAATGAAATTTAAAAAGTTTAGTTTGAATAATAAAACTCGTTTAAATTTTACATCGAAACATAATTTAGTACTGGTGAGGGAAGTGTTGATTCATCGATGGGAAATAAGAAAATATTTTACGCTTGTGAGAAACCATCTAAATATTTTATTGCAATAGTTAAGATAATAGTAACCGATCTAAGAACAATAATTTTAATAAGATATTCGATTATTACTCTAGTTTTCAATCTTTCGCAAAAGACTTAAATTCAACTGTACTTTAAACTGCTTAAACCAAATGTTATATTTGAATTAGAATGACATTTGCGGTACCACTAATTTTTGTTTGGACCTTATTCTGAAAATGGCAAGAAATAAGGTTATGATATTCATAAAGTAACAAGTGGCAATAACTCTCTAATATATTTACCATTTAAATAATAATTTTCTGCCCATTTTTCTACAGCCACAACGCGGGCCTGAGCATTTGGTTCTACAGATGATCCTTTTACAGGTTTTATCTTCATCAAAATCTAATGCAGCACGGCTGTATTTTCGTCTTTCTTGTAGAATTTTCTTTCTTACCCAATCTGGGTTTTCTATATAATCGGTCTCGACTATGGTATCATCAAAACTATCATTTATCACGATAATTTCTGAATCTTGATTTTTTTGCCGTTTGGACGGTGGTTTTGTGGTATTGATATATCTTCTTGTATTTGGAGTAATTGCAGCGTGTCGTTTGTTGTTTGGTACCACGATTGTTTCTAACGAAACTGCTTGTATTTGTGGTACCTCCACTTTTTCCTGCTTTTTCATAGCGCCTTTACAACTTCTCTTCGAGCAATCGCTTAGCTTCCTTCAATTCTTCAATTTGTAAAATCCATTTTTCTTCTTTCATTTCAGTAATTTTCTTCAATAGACGTGCAACCTTCTCCTCATATTTATTTTGCAAAGCCGTCACTTCTTCTATGCTGCTCTTCTTGGTTTCTTGCAATTTTTCTTGAGTCTCTTTATGTATTTCCTGTAATTCGCTTAATTTTATTTGTATATTCACTTTTTCTTTTATGATTTCTTCCGCTTTCGCGAACAAACATTTTATTCCAAATTTTGCCTCGGACATAGTCTGAAATTTGTCGAAACGTATTTTCAATCGGTTTTCTTCATTGGAATCCGAAAGTTTTTGTTCTAAATCATTTATTTGGACGCTTTTCAATTCCAAATCTTCTTCGATAAATTTACATTCTGAACTATCGCTGCCACAAGTGGTTTTCATGTCAACTAATTGGACTTGGAGGGTGTCTCGATCTTCGAGAAGAACTTTTAACGTGGCTTCCGCTTCAACGATGTTCACATATAGATTAAATTCTTGCTTAAGCCATGATTCTAAATGTTCAAGTTTCCCGTTGTTCCTCGCATCCTGCGCTTGTTTTTTTAAAGCCAAAGAGATTTAAATTTCTGCAACGATACGATAAGGCAGCACTCTACAGAGACTTTTAAGAAAAAAGGTGGGAAATCCTCCTATTTAGAAACTACTAGATAGTTATTAAAACAAAAAGCAAATTTTTATAGAAGTAATACAGAATGGCGCGTAATTTTTTTTTAAATTGTTTTAAAATAAATACTTTTCGAAGGTTTACAAAAAAAAAATAAGGATTCTCACCTAAGTTTTGTTATTATTATTTCTTGAAAATTCCACAAGAATCGGAATAAAAATAAAGGCTCAGAAGCAAAATTGATATAAACATGTCAGAATTAAAGAGGTATAAGCGCACTTGCACCTATTCAAAATAAAGATTTCTGTAGCTTATTTTAAGACTCTTTTTATACATGCCGATAGATTGCTTTATTTTTCATAAATTCACTTGAATCTATTCATTATCAAATAAAAGAATACTTTGAGTTTACAAATTTGTACTTAACTCAAAAAATGAAAAAGTGCACTTATACCTCTTCCAATTCCAAACCCCTCAATTGTATTTTTTTAACCACTTATGTTTCTGATGGTAGTTTTTGAATAAAAAAAAAAAAAAATAAATAAATTTGAAAACAAATTATTTACTCTATATGAAGCATATCGGCATTTTAAAATGTGTTTTATCCATATACAATTCTAAAATTATTATTAAATACATGTAATGATTGTATCAGTTCCATAAAATAAAATAATAATTTTATGGTTTATTCCTGACTGGGTAGGCCTGTTTAATTTATTTATAGAATGCTTTATTTTTTTTTAACCTCTGATATTTTATTGTATCCTAGTTATATAAGTACAAAATATTCCAACTTATGTTACTTTGAAATTAAAAAGCCAATTACAGTTTTATAAAAATATCAGTCTATTTTATTTTTGTAATCTTCATTCTCACTAAAAACTTCGGGCCTCTCCGCCAATCATATGATATGGGCGATCTGTGTTTTTCCTATAGATATACTTAAATAATCTCTGCTAGTCCGAAATTTGCTCCCATTATCCCATCACCACCACCACCACTAACAAACGTGGTCCCTTCGAGCATATATTACTAGAGCCATCGTCCAAATGGACTTTGTTTTAGTACAGGGGGGAAAATAGTGTCCAGCATTCCCATTGGTCTGTTTAGTTTTGCTTGGCATGTCAAATCGTTGTCAGAACTGTCATTTGATTTTTGATTTTCATTAATTTCTAGCTTATTTTTGTAGTTTATAGGTTTGATCCAACAACGATCAGAAACCAGTCACTGACACCAGGATTCTGCGCAGTTGATTATTTCGACCGCTAAATTATATACTGCGCAGAATCCTGGTGTCAGTAACTGGTTTCTGATCGCTGTTGGAACAGACCTTAAAAGTGTTTTTTTGTATTTTATTACTTTACTGATAGAAATTTTAACAATAGTGAGAGTTTGTGTAAGTTGTAAATAGAAATAAGAAAAAGAATCGTCAAGGGCATTACACAAGTAAGTAACCATTAGCGTCTCTACCATTTTTTTAAAAGAAACATAGTACCTACATTTTATGCAAAAGGCCGTTGAACATGAATTTAAAATAAATGATAAATTTAGTGTATTAAATTTAAAAAACTAGTATTATTTATGAGGAATATTGTTTTTGATTTTGGACTCTACTGAAAAGGTAAAAAAAATAATCATAATTTTTCAATATAAACAAGCTTTTTGTTTTTAAGTCATTTTATCATGATAATGTTGAAGATGTTAAATTAATAATTTTTGTTTTTTGTATGTTTCCAGGTAAATCCTGCCGAAAAAACGCATTTGGTGAAACATATTAAAACTTACTCCAGAAAACATTTCAAATAGTGATGTTTTATGTTCTAATCATTTTTCTGGATATATATTTATGTCAAAGACTGGATGCGGAGGAAGAGCTAGATTAATTCCAGGTGCAGTGCCATCATACTGAGTCTCCAGAAGAAGATGAATCTAAAAGATAAAGAACCCTGCACTTTTCTTGTGGGTTAATCGTTCAAAATTTTTAATTTTTCAGTGATGATCTGAACCATGAAGCCTCTGTTGCAGAAGAAGAAAATGCAGAATTAGAAAACATGTAAGTAACTAAGTACTTTTTAATACAACATAAATTTTATTTTTTATACACCACAAAAATTGACAATAATTATTTTGTATTAAATGTACCTATGTTCCATAATTAAGTAGACTACTAGCCATTAAGAAATAAGTAAAACCTAATGTGAGTTTTTCAATAAAAAAGTAATTTTAAGCTTCTTTTATTTGAATTCCTGGTCAGTAAGAAATAATGGAAGCTTAAGACAGTTTTCCAATAAAAATGAAGCTTCACTTATTTGTTAACGACTAGCAGTGCAAATGTACCTAAGTATTAATTAGCTTGATTTCTATTTGTAGTATATCGTTTAGTAATCTATTGAATATTGTTTATGAACAATATTTTTATATTTAATAAATTATTGGAAAAAGTTCTTGTATTGTAATTCTCGTACACGTGTGTTAAGAGATATCATAAATATTTGTATAATATACATACTATTTATTTATATTTTTGATTTTTAAATATAAGCTTTTTATCTCTTTTATTGCCTATTATTTCAACCTTCATTTTTCCGTTATACACTTTCTGATGTTTGAATTAAAAAAATCTGATGTTTCCAACAGAAATAATATTAATAATAATTATTTACTATTACTACCTACTTAAATAATGCAAGTTTATAAAATATGTGCATAATTTAAAGAATTTTGAAGGTATGTATCAAATTTATTATTTATATTAATTGCAAACCCCGTAAAAATGATGCGACACTGGTAATAGTGTACAGGCATTTCCCCTCACAACGTAAATAAATCCTATTGAATGCGGACTTTATGAAATATATATGCTCGAAGCGTGGTTCAGTTTCAAACGCCTAGAACCGACTTGTATGATCGCTCCTTCATATCAAGATAAAGTAGACTTTGGAACGGTATTTCCCATCAAGTTTTTTTCTATCAAATCATTATACGCTATTCTTTAAATCCTTAGTGTTCAGATTCCCTGAACATAGTAAAATAACTGTCATTTCCCCATTTGTGTTTTTATTTTGAAAACATTACTCATGGTGACATCGGCCCACCAAAGAAGACGGTGCATGTGGTCTACTTATCGATTTTTAAATATCTGAACCCTTGTCGCAACCATTTATTGAAAATTATGCATCTGGATAGCTATTCACTAAGTCATGGGAGCGCTGCCATGGGAGTGCTCCCATATATTTTGCTCTCTTACTCTTAGGTGGGTATATCGTGCTTACTCACTTTTAGCCCAGGTACATGCGTAGTAAGGTCAGATTTTATACCATGGGAGGGAGAATTGCGGGCTTGCCAGATTTTGGTCCGTATTTATAAACAGAACTTACCTGAGTCGGACTTAAATAAGTCGCCCTTGAACTAAAATCGAAGTTCGGTTACAACGTCTCTAAAGTTCTAGGTGGTTCTGGTGTTAGACTGGAATTCAGAGATGAATATTAGCAAATCTGTAACTGTTATGTACATTTACGGATTTGTTACTACCTATCTCTAAATTCACGCGATATAACCCAACTTCGATTTTCGTTCAAGGACGACTTACCCAACTCCGACTTAGCTGAGTTTTGTTTATAAATACGGACCTTAGGTTGGCATGGGAGTATGGGAGTGCTCCCATGAGTTAGAGAATAGGTATCCTGGATAGCTATTCACTAAGTCATGGGAGCGCTCCCATGGGAGTGCTCCCATATATTTTGCTCTCTTACTCTTAGGTGGGTATATCGTGCTTACTCACTTTTAGCCCAGGTACATGCGTAGTAAGGTCAGATTTTATACTATGGGAGGGAGAATTGCGGGCTTGCCAGATTAGCTCCGTATTTATCACAAAGCAAATTTGAATTACTAAGGGCTGATTCCACCGTTGAGTTAAACGGAGATTAAAATGACATTGTTAATGTAAAAATGTCATTTTAAACTTCGTTTAACACAACGGTGGATCGGTCCTTAAATAGTAGATCAAAGTTATTCTGTCGACTTGGCAACGTTGGCATGGGAGCATGGGAGTGTGGGAGTGCTCCCATGAGTTAGAGAATAGGTATCCTGGAGAGATTTCTCTTGAATCTTAACCTCTCCCCAGACAACACACCAAATCCCAGAGATATCCACAGAATATCTTTTGTGGATATCCAATATATCCACAGGATATCAGAAATATTCCGTGGATCTAATATGGATATCCAAATGTCCGTCTATATCCAGAATATAGAAGATATTCTATGGATATTCAGCAAAATATCTAATTAGTATCTTTCAGACAATACAAGAAATCCCAGAGAT